TTTAAGCCCCCCCCCCCCAACCCAAAAAATAAATAAAATTTATGAGATCTTACTAGATGTGTTGAACATTTTCTCGAATTTTATTGGATTAACTGATAATCTTGACAAAAGCAAACTTATTGCCTCCAATTATATCTCCACCCCTTCTAAGGTTTGTTCTACCCTTGACATCCCATTACACTGCTCAAAGATGACTTATCTTGGCCTAGCGATCTCTTCTAAGAAATATTGTGTTGCTGACTATCAACCTTTATTACATCCTATTTCAAATCGCTTTGTCTGTTGGCTAATCTTTTATATTTTGCAGGACATTTTCAATTTCTTAAATTCACCATCTAGAATATGATTACGTATTTGATTAGAGGATCTATTATACCCAAAACCTATCTCAAAAATTTGGAAAGGATGTGTGCTAGATATCTTTAATTTGAAGACAGTGAAGCAAAGAAGCTACACCTTATCTCTTGGCGCAACACCTACAAACCGAAGAATTTTGGTTGCCTTGGAATCTCAGATCTTCATGCTATTCAACATGCCCAATGCTGCTCTCTAATTATCAGGCTTTACAATTCCCACTCCCTTCTTTTCTAAACCCTAAACCCTAAACTTACAGGAGTGCGACACATCTTGCAATATATGTCATTGTTGGCCGAGTCGCATAGCATAGTTCCATGTAAAGATGTGCAAGAGCGGCACCTCCCATTGACATCCTACTAAAGTTATCAACATCCGAAAGTAGAGGTAACCACTGTAGAGAAACATGGCTCTGTGATGTATCTGGTATCAAAAAATAACCTATCATAAATAGGATGTATGCGCGGACATGTCGAAGGAAAATCTGTGGTGCCAAATCATCATATGACTCTCTGTAAAACGTCCAGCGGAGCCAACAGTGGGAGCATAGAATCAACTTGTGATGAACCCATCCTGAAGGTCGCAACATCTTCCTCATCATCTGGGGCGTGGTATACCGTATCCCTCCCAAGATGCGTGCCAAGTAACTCGTCATAGCAAATCGGCCATGTTGGCCATATACGTCCTTGCCCAATAACATTTGGGTCAACTACTGTAGGTCCATCAACCCTAAGCCCTAATAAAATTTGGACATCCTGCAATGTGATAGTCATCTCGCCGATTGTCAAATGAAAAGTGTTTGTTAAGGGACACCATCTCTCCACCAGTGCCGTAATCAGGTTGTGATCCAACCTAATGAACTACAAATGTCTGAGATTTTGGAATCCCAGGTTTGTCAACATATAAATCATCCGTGGGCATTCAATTGGCCATTCACTAGCCATGTGCATATGAGTCGTGGCAACCAAAGGAGATGCCTAAAAATTTCAATTTTATTAAAATTAAATAGATATATAACAATGAAATAAGGAATATATAATGACATTAATTTTTTAAATATACATGATCTGAACATGCGCTATATGAGATTCTCCCAGTGATGTTATACTAAGTTGCCTTGGGATATTTTCTGCAGTAGTATGATGCGGTATGCGTCGGCCTGAACGAGCACGTCTAGATCTGTCGGTCATACCTATCAAAAATAAAATCAATACAATTCATATTATTATAACTCTAAATTTTTTAAAAGCAAAATATTTTACTAAATATAGATTACCTTGACGAGGAAGGATTATGCGGACAAGTTGATCTATTGTGACCTATTTGTTTGCATAATCCACAAGCTTTGTTTGACCTACTTGAGGGCTCATCCATCGTGTTATGGAACCTATTCATTCGTGGTCGACCAACACGATGCCTAAAAGTTGGAGCCAGCAAAGGGATTAATCCGTGCTCTTCATTAAAGGTGGGTCATATGTCTTTCGGGGGGAAGACATGAAATAATTTGAGTACGTAGCGATTTAGTTCTCAATCGTAAAAATTGGTGATACAAATGCATTATGATCCCACCGCCTAGCTCCAATTACTGCAACGACATGAACGCAAGGGATGTGATAAAGTTGTGGTTTCAAACATGCACACGTACATGAGGCTGCATTTATTATCTCAACATTGTTTGCTCGCGAAAATGTATCAATCACTTCAAATTCATTTTTGTTAATCATGACTGGTTCAGGACAACGTCAAGCATCACGTTCGGCTCTTTGTATCACAATCATCGTTCGTTGAACGAAGGGTGATTGGCCTGCCTCAACCCACTTTCCAGATTCAGCTGATCTCTTCAGGAATAATGCCACGAGTTTATAGTAAATTGACATAATTAGCCCTTGAATAGGAAGTCCACGGGCACGTTTAAGGACACTGTTAAAACATTCAGATACATTTGTGGTCATAATACCATATCGATGTCCTTCATCAAAAAGCTGTGATCATTTCGAGACATCGCGTTGTACTAACCAATCAAATGCCTCTTGCTTTATCATTTTAATTTCATCCATCATTCGATTGAAATATGAATAATCATCCGTATTTCCAGCAAAATACATTTTGTTACTTAATCCCTCACTATCTAGAGTTCCTAAATGACGAACCATCTTTTTAAAATTTTCACGCAAGTGACGAAGACAGTGCTTATGAACAGCATTTGGAAATACTTCCATGCACCCACGTACAAGTCCAGGGTGTTTGTCAGAAACTATGCACAACTTCTCCCGATCAGCTACAGTTGGTATTAATTCTTGTAGTTTTTGTAGAAACCAAATCCATGATTCATTGCTCTCCGATTCCACCACTGCAAATGCTAGTGAAAACAATCCACCATTCCCGTCAATTCCTACCACAGCTAAGAGGGTGCCTCGATACTTCCCGAGCAAGAATGTCTCATCCATGCTCAAGACTGGCCTGCAGTGTTGTTACCCATATATAGATGCACCAAATGCCCAGAAAAGTCCCTTAAAGCGTGTGGGAGGTACGACATGAATATTGTATACAGTTCCTGGTTGTGATAATCGTAAAGCCTCCATAAAACAAAAAAGTGAATGATAAGATTATTCGTAGCTACCAAAAGTGGATTCAATAGCTTTTTTACGTGCGTCACATACCTTCGTATATGAAATCTTAATGTCAAACTTTGACTCCATTCTAGCAATGATCTTCTTCTGCTTCATGTCTAGTTGTTGTCTAATTATAGGAATGATAAGTCTGCTTATAAACTTCGATGTGCAGTTATGATGTCCACTAGCCAATATGGGGAGGGTGCATGTATGTGGAGGGCCACATGTAGATATTTTTCATAACCCACCTAGACGTTTACTTCGTGATGCATGTAAGCGCCAAAGGCAGGGGCGATCAACATTATCATGTTGGGCACAAATGATACTCAATCGACTTTTGTTCGATGTTCAATTTAAAAATTGAACATTATGAAGAATAGACCAACCTTTAATTGCTCCTTGCAAATCTACCTTTGTATGAAATATCTTACCTTCATATAACTCTATTGGAGTAGTTGCTTCTGTCGGGCTAACAATGTTTGCACAGGGAGCAT